ACGACGACTACTACTACTACTACTACTACTACTACCAGTACTAGTACCACTACTACTACTACTACTACTACTACTACTACTACTGCTACTACTCCTGCTGCTGCTGCTGCTACTACTGCTGCTGCTACTGCTACTATTACTACTATCACTACTACTACTACCACCACCACCACTACTAAAACTAATGTTGATTCTAATGCTAGTTCTATCAGTGTCAACATTAAGAAGGGGAAGAGTAGCTATAGTCTTCATTGTAGTTCTTTTTTGGTTGACCAGTTATATGGTTAGGATCCTAAAATATTCCTTTGGTCAACCAAAAAGGGAACTACAATGGATACTTCAGGGGCCTCATGAATTACCTGTACTATTTCAGGAGTATTTGTTGCTATGATTTTGGTATAGTATCCCCCGAAACCCTATTCTAATTATAAATGCCCCTATATAAGCCCTGAAAGATCTCCCAGGCTCTTCGGACGTTGAAGGAGGCATGAGATCCTTTGGGACTTGAAGTCGTGTCTCCATCGTAGTTCGGCTTTGGGGTTTAGGGTTCAGGGTTTGGGGTTAGTTCGGCTTTGGGATTTAGGGTTTAGGGTTAGTTCGGCTTTGGGTTTAGGGTGTAGGGTCTAGGGTTAGTTCGGCTTTGCGGTTAACCCAAAGTCTGTTTACCTATAGTCTCCCTTGTAGTTCCTTTGTTCGGCCTTAAAAATATATTCAGCATCCCAAATGTAACCCCGTAAAGGAAAGACAATGGAGACTTTAGGTAGGATCCTATATCGCACAAACAAGGTGACCCAAAGAAGGACTACAAAGCAGATTGGAGGCCAGGTTGAGTTTAAGGTTTATTGTGATCTCTAGTTTGGGTCCGCAACAAACTACGCCACGCGGTATAGAAACGACGCCCGAAAGGGGTTCAATCGGGTCGAAGATGGGGGATCGAGGGAACTTTGAAACCTTTGCCCTTAGCCGTAACCCGTAGAACTGTAAAACCTCTAACCCGCAACCCCCAGCCCTAGGCTCCAAACCTATAGCCCTATAAGCCGCGAACCCGTATAAAACCTAGGCCGTAAGGTAAGGCCTGCTAACATCTAAGATTAGAAGTATGGGCCCCTAATATGGACCCTAAGGCCTTTCTAGGGACCCTTAAGGGCACATATAGGGTATAGAGTACGTGTATAAGGATCCCAGGGTAAGGGCCCATACTTGGGGCACATGGCTTCAGCCTTAGATAGCAGCCCCAGGTCTAGGACATTGTCAGGTGGGTAGTTACCGTTATAGGAGCCTGACAGAAGGTTGATATAACTTATGGAAGCCTTATAGAAGCCCTATATACCCTAAACTCCCCACCTGTAGTTTCCCTTAAGAAGGCACCAGTATTTCTAACGAGCCGGCATTCCGATGCGAACCCGAAGCCCAGAAGCTGAGACTTGAAAATCTGGTGGATATTCGCTTCCTTAAAAAAGGATCTATAAGGGCTACAATAATTAGAATTTGGGGTTCCTTTAAAGGGTTCTCTAAAGGGTTCTAGAAGGGCTACTATAAGGGCTGAAGGGCCGGACAAGATTTGAATAGGGTTTTGGAGCCATTCTACTATAAGTATAATAAGGAACCCCCCCAAATCATATTGGTAATTATCTAGCCCCCTACATGACAGTCCCTGTATCACAGAAGCATGAAAAGACTTCTCCCCAAACTCTATGACTACGTAATTGTCTATTGTCAAGGCCCAGATATCAGTGCCGTAGCTTTGACCCGCACGGATTGCGCAGAGTGCAGCACTTGACCGTCGAAGCCTCGATTCTAATTATTAAGGCTCCTATCTTAAGTCCGGAAACCCTGAAACCCTACACCTTTTTCCAGAGGTCCGGGACAGTTTCCATTCGGCGGTAGAGCTGGACTCGAAGAAGCCCGATGCGTACGTCACTTTCGCACAGTGACCCTGCCAAATTCAGCACGGGTCCATGTACCTACAGTTCATTGTCACATACTCAGGCTTTAACCAGGTTCGTATCTAGCTAGCTTAGGGTCAAATTATATATATATATATATATACTAATTGGGTACATCGGCCTTCAGGGATAGTCAACAAGACTTGTGTTTTGGAGACTAACGGTGCTGGGTGCAGCACATGTGTGTTACCTACCTCCGACATCGACGAAGCCGTATAAACTCTAAAGTAGACCATTCTTGGAGGTTGGCGTCGCATGCACCCCGCAGGTCCATGCTAAGCTGCAATCAGCTGGAGGCCAGCCGTCCTCAGGGATGTTTGCATGCTGCGTAGAGGGACTGATGTGGGGCCTCTACTCCTGTGAACTTCCTACTTAGGGGTTTAGGGTTTTTAAAGCCCGAGCCATAAACCCTAAAGCCCTAAACCCTAAAGCCCCAAACCCTAAAGCCCAAACCCTAAACCCCAAACCCTAAAGCCCCAAACCCGAAAGCCCAAACTTTGAACCCTAAACCTCAAACCCCCAAACCCCGTTGAGGGTTTTGGAGTTTAGTGCTTTGCGATTTTGGGGGGTTTAGGGTTTAGGGTTTAGGGTTTAGGGTTGCAGAATAAACCCTGAACCCCCGAGCATTGGAAACCACAACGGTACTGCGGCAAGCGGAATCCCAAACCTCATATTACAGAGCACCCTATGATCCCAACAAGGCGCACTGCTATACATACGGCTCATGAGGACTTGTTGAGTATGCTCTTTTATCGTTATGCCTGCATGCCCTTAAGCCCTAAACCCCAAACCCTCCCATAAACCGTAAACAGGCATCTAACCATCCTTTTTGTCTTACCTTCTAAGGGGAGGAAAGCCTTGAACAGTGGCTTCCAAGATCGAACCATGCGATCTCCAGCGTTAGGGGTTCAACATAGAAGCCTAAATAATTACCAATATTATTCCTTAGGGTTCCTATTATGAGTATATACTATAAAGGGGCCCAAAACCCTATTCTAATTATTGAGGCCCCGACATTAGTTAGGGGTTGGATTGTGGTCTACGGTGAGCTCAAAAGAACCCTCCCTCCGATGCTGGATCTACTAAAAAGTGCTTAGGTTTGTTTAGGGCTTAGGGTTTAGGGTTTAGGGGCTTCGGTCTTATAGGGTTCCATCACCAAGCCCCACAATCCTCAGCCGTGAAGACTACATCCTAAACCTTACCGGGGTTCCTTAAGGGTTTAGGAATTTGGGAGTCACGCCGCCCGCAAACAGGATGCCGTCGATGCTTGGGAAGGAGCCGTACAAAGAATTGACAGAAGGATGCACGGCAGTGCAAGATACTCATAGGCTGTTCGGTGCGTGGTATTAGGGTTTACGGGTCAAGGCTTTCGGCGAGGCTCGGTGTGTGTGGTACCATCTCTGAGAAGTGGTGCTGGGGTTAGAGCTCGCGGGATGAAGTCCAAGTTGGGGGTTTGGTGCTTTCATGCAGTTTAGGTTTTAGGGTTTAGGGTTTAGGGTTTAGGGCTCCTAAGCCTCAAGACTGTAGATGCTAAACGCAGCGCCGGCGACGTTCTGCATTCAGGAGTAATTCAGGAGTCATACATGCGAAACGCCACACACAGACCCGGTCTTGATGGTCATCAGTCGGCTTCGCCCCCTGAACCTCCATGTCTAGCACATTTTCAGGTGGGTAGCTACCGTTGTAGGAGCCTTGTAGAAGGTCTATATACCTTATCATAGAAGCCTTACAGAAGCCCTATATACCCTAAACTCCCCACCTGTAGTTTCCTTTAACCATGTGTTTATGTAGAACGAGTTCAGGAGCCGTTTCGCAACAGCCCCGTCAGGCCGGCAGCATAGTTGGCAACGTCCCTAACCCTAATCCCTATACCCTAAACCCTAATCCCTAAACCCTAATCCTTAAACTCTAAACCCTAAACCCGTTTACATCTCCTCACAACCAAAGCAGGTCCTAGCAAGCTTCCTGAACTTCAGCAGCAGAGTAGGGAACCATGCACCCTCGAGCCCACCTAAACCCCAAGAACGAAACCTCGACACTACTCCCTGATACCTAGTCTTTACCCCCGCCTGAACAATAAACCATGCTTAACCCCTGAGACCCATGGAAACCCCTACATGCTATGCACCCTACGCCCCGTGGCGCCTCAGGAAAGAGCCGCGCCTTTTCGATTGGGCTGCCGGCAGGCTGCGATGGACGAGGTCCCCCTGGCTTGAGCCAGGAGTTTCTTGAACTGCGGTTGATGATATAAATCCTGCATTACCTTAACGACCCTAAACTATGAAAAATACGGCATATTCCTTATTATGGGTAATGCAGGATTTATATAATCAACCGTACGGGTCCCCATTTCGGGCTTAGGGTTTAGGGTTTGGGATGTTTTTCTAAGTCGCTTCTGGGTTTAGGGTTTAGGGTTTGAGATGTACTTTTAAGTGTTCCATATTCCTTATATGACCGGACTTCACGAAGGCACTCTGTCCCTTTTAGGATTCTGATATCAGGGATCCGGCTTGGGGTCGAGACGCTGGGTCCTTAACTCTTGGCGTTATTCTGGTTGGCTCTTAGGACTTTACCTTTTTGGGTTTCCATACGAACCTTTAATAAGTAGGCTAAAAGTTTTCCTTTCAGGAGGGGTTCAGAAGTCAGCCAAGTAGTTCTTGAAAGCGATACAACTTAGGCTTCACCTTCCACTACGCAGCCTACTGCCTCTCAGGGAGTTTCGGGAGGCTTAGTTGAGAGGGGTGCTTTGTGGGTTCCTGAAGGTTAAGGGTTTAGGGTTTAGGGTTTAGGGTTTAGTTAAGGACTCGAGGGAGAATGTTCAGCTTGGCTCAAGACGCCCTTCAGCGACATATCAGATGCAACGGTTATGCAGCTCAATCTTCACAGGGTGACGGACAAGCCCAGAAGAGTCGGGTCCAGTTATTCAGGGCTTGGTGCTTGAGGTTTAGTAGTTAGGGCTTGGGCTCAGGGTTCAGGGTAGTTTCGTCAACAATATGGTGTTTGGCATTCGGATGAAGTGTCCAAAGATTGCCAACAAGTATTGAGATAAGGCCCCCGCCTGACGGTGAGCAAAGACATCAGGTTTGGTTCCCGCTGTATTTCGATTTAGGTTTGTATAACCATACTTCCAGAAGACTTTCACAATTGTGCTTTCTGAGCAGAGCAGTAGTTTGCCGCAACTGCAGACTTTGCAATCGGTGGTCAAATTCAGGCATTTCTGCGGGGGTGTTGGTGAAATTCGGTGAGATTCTGCATCTTTGTATTTCGTACGGCCACGCCCTGCAGCGTGGCGTTTAGTTCAAAATGGGCACAGTGGCTCCTTTCGTGTTTCCTGTAAGGTTCCCTGTGCTGGTTCCTATAGTGGTTGGTTACTATAAAGCTTCCTGTAAGGGGTTGCCTTAAAAAGGAGCAACGGAGATTCAAGGTGCTCATGCTTTCTTTACGGGGGACTGGAGACTCCTTCTAAAAGCAGTGCAGAGCGCTCGAGCATGTAATAATATAACCTCGCGTAAACCCAAGGGGAACCCTGTAAGGAGCCCTTCCACGAAGCCTTTTGTGAAACCCATCCCACCTGATGGGATTAGTTGAGCAGCCAAGGTATGGTTTGGTGTCAATGCAGCGGGACGAGGCCCTAAACCCCAAACCCCTAAACCCTAAAACCCTAAAAAGGTGACCTGTGCTCTGTATCAGCTGCTTCGGCCTGTCCATCTGTTTACCTTAAAGCGACCTTTAACCTCTGAACACCCAAATCCTGAAACCCTGAAATCCCGCAACTACACCCTATCCGCGGTTCCCACCCCCAAAAGGTCCGAAAACCAATATAACTAAGCCATACAAGCCTTGAAGCCTATGAGCCCTAAGCTCCCAAACCCTAAACCCTAAGCTCCCACACCCTAAACCCCTAAACCCCTGAACCCTAAACCCTAAGCTCCCACTTCCTAAACCCGAAGCTCCCACTCCCTAAACCCTACAGAGCCTGCAGGATCGAACAATCGGATGTGCCTTAAGAACCCAAAACCCACTTTTTTCTGTAGGTTCTTACTATAAACCCTAATATGGGATTTATAGGGACCCTACAAAAAAGTAGATTCTGGGTTCTTAAGGTGGAACAGGAGCTTAGTCGTCCGGTTTTTTTTTGCTGCATACAGGAAATCAAACAAGAGTTTACTTTTGCAGCGGCATCGTCGGGTTCACGGATTAGCCTGGCTTCAGCAACCGGCATCATCAGCATGATTTTCGCCCTAAGCCCCAAACCCTAAACCCTAAACCGTCCCAGCTTAGCAGGCCCAGGCATGTCTCTGCGTGGTGTTCTACCAGGTGATCTAAACGCCCACATCCCGAAGATCAACCTATACAAAGCATCAACCCCAACCCCAGCCCAACCCTAAACCCTAAACCCTAGACCCTAAACCCCAAACCCCCAAACCCTAAACCCTAAACCCTAAACCCCAGCCCACAAGCTTCCAAGACCTGCAGGTGCTGCAAGCCCTCAACCCGTAAACCATGACAAATCATGACGGCTGAACCCCTAAAGCCTATAAAGCCCTAAAGCCCAGAACCCCCTAACCCTTAAAGCCCTAATATAGGGGTCTTAATAGTTACCAATACTATTTTGGGGTTCCTTATTACAACTATAGCATAATATACCCCAAAGCCCTTTTCAGATTATTAAGGCTCCTACATTAAAGCCTGACACCCCTCGGCACTGGAAGCCCTAAACCCTAAACCCTGAGCTGAAGGTCTATGCAGATGGCCAGGGAGATTTGCAGGCTTCCCTGAAGCTGATTGAGAAGCAGCTGGACCACCGGCTTGGTTCCTTTTTGTTGGTTCATGGGTTTAGGGCTTTGAGGTTGCGGGCGTTGGATTTTCGGGTTTAGGGGTTTCAAAGTTGAGGTCTTTGGGCTAGGTGTAATTGCACGGTATCGAGTCAACGGTTAGAGCTTATGGCCCGGTTTGTGATTTACGGCTTACAGCGAGGTGACGAGTCTGTTACTGCCATCGCTTTGCTTCCCAGGCACCTGGGTGTTAACCATCAGTGAGCATCTTGCCTTGTCTTCGTGACTGTACCTCTATGTCGTATGGATAAGACATGTGAGAATTTACATGCAGGGCTCGTGGCAAGGTTTTGAAGTCGTTTCGGCGGCTGCTTGCTGCGCATATCTCGAAGCCTTGCAAGCATTGTGACTCAAGATCCGAATAGCCGATACTGTACCTCGGACCGTAGCGAAATTATCAGTATGCTTTGTGGATTCGGCACCGTGCAAGCACTCTGGGGGAGCGGAGGACACCGCCTACATGATCTAAGTTATGAGCACTGCTCCTGAAGGCTGCTTAGTGACATGAACTGAGAGTCATGCCTGATGCTTCCATGAATACTTCCTTACTCTTCCCTAGGGTTCCCTTTCGAATTATGATGTTACTATAACATACCCCAAAACCCATCCTAAGGCCTCGTTGCTAAGCACCTCTTTGCAGTGATCTGCATAACAGGAGCCCTCAGAGACCCCCCTCTATCGGAGCCTTTCAAGGAACGCTTTAGAGTCAGAGGAGCCCTGAAAGGAACCTTATAACTCCCATCAGGAGATATATCCTGGCTTTCCCGACATGCACCATGACTTGGCAACGACCCGCGTCATGGTCTCCGAGCTCCAGCAGGCGACAGCTGCAGACAGGAACTGTGAAGAGTGATAGTAGCAGTAATGTGGTTCCCTGTTGGGGCTATATTTACAGTGATCATTTTAATCCTTGTTGGGTTTCACTATAACCAAAATGTGACATTGTATCCAACAAGGACCCAATAATATTGAACCCACCAGAAGAAGGTCGAACAGAGCAGTATAGTTTTCGGCATCACAAAGGGTGAAGCGCTACTTCAAGCTAAGTTCAGGGTTCTTGTGGTGACGATACTAAACCCTAAATCCTAAACTCGGATATACCCGACATATGATGATGGCACCGATGGTTGGGATGACGATGGACATGTGCTTGTCCAGGCTGACGATTATGGTTGTGTTGGCAATCAGTACCCCCAAATCTTTTTACGCACATGAGATGATATAGCTTGCATTATATATGTATATGCATGTATATGTATACGTATGTGTATATATATATATATATATAACGATCTTATTTTTTCATTTGTACATATATATGTATATAACAGTGAGGTACAAGCCTGTTCATCATAACAATTAGGTTTTACATGTGTATTTATATTATGTATGTGTATATATATATATATATATATATACATATGTGTGTATACACATGTGTATGTTGTGTATATGCCTATCCACACAGCATATGTTCCCTTGCGTTGCGCAGGACTCGAACATCACGGCGGAGGCTGTAGAGAGCTTCAAGCAAGCCCAGGAGAGAGCTGCTTGGCTTTTAGTACTAAGCTCTGCGACCGTTTAATTTTATAATACATACTAGTCCTATAGTATCGATGCATAGACATAAGCAATCAACTAGTGTCTATGTGCTTGCTTTAATATGCCAGGTTGAGAGAGGCTCCATCCCTGCCAATTTTTATCTCAACTCCGGTTTTGTGCCGGGTGTACAACTGTCAAAAGGGGGCACCGTCACTTGAGTACGTTCTAGGGTTTAGGGTCTGATGGTTCGTTTCCTTGGGTCATGTGCAGAAGATGCTGAGAAGTTGAACCCTAAACACTACAACCTGAATGCGCAGACCCTGAAGTCGATACCGACCATTCTGACCTCTACACCTTCCTACATTGTGATACCCTAAGACTCAACATGGCCCAAACGCCGTATTTATAGCATGGTCTTTGGGCCCAACAGCCTTAACATACGACACCTTCGAGTCTTAGGGGCATTATACACCCTCAAAACTTATTGATAGTTGCTGCTTTGGAAGAGAGCCCAATATACAACAATGCGGGAGTTCTCTAAATTAGCGTCCCGTTCAGGCAAAAAGGGTGCCGTACTATATTGGGGACCTACAATAGACCCTGATTTAGAGAATTACCCAAATCCTTAATATCAGAAACCCTCAACATCTTAAATCACAAGATATCCTAAGCCCTAAGGGAAGGATGGTCCCAGGCTAAGGGTACAATAGAAGCCCAAAAGTCGGAAACGGGTATAGGATTTAGGATTCAGGGTTTAGGGTTTAGGGTTCCTTAAGACCAATGTCTAGGGACTCCCAGCACTAGGGGTTACTGTATTTAGGGTCTGACAGAGGGGAAATGGAGAGTCTATTTAATGTCCCTTTCATTGAATTCCTAAACCCTAAACCCTAAAACACTAAACCCTAAGCTCTAAACCGGTTTAGGGTGTAGGGTTTAGGGAAAACCACCCTCAAACCCCTTCAATTTCTGAGCCCTCTGAGCTCTGCTTCGAGGCTTTCGAGGCCTGGAAAGCCGGACTCCTCGAGCGGAAGCGCCCCTTGTACTTTCTGGCTGCTTACGTACATGGGGCTGGGATTACCTATAGGCTCCATTGTAGTTCGTTTTTGGGGTTACCTTATAGAATCCTTAACATAGAATTGGTTAAACCAAAGAAAAGGAACCACAATGGAGACTATAGGTAGGGTCTAAGGTTTAGGGTTTAGGGCCTAGGTTTCAGATTTGTTTTGGGCTGGTTCAGAGAACTCGGGAGACCGTTTTTCGGCACCGTTTATCGTAATGACCTAAACCCTAAACCCTAAACCCTAAACCCTAAACCTAAACCCTAAACCCTAAACCTAAACCCTAAATGAGAATTCTAGTCTCGCGGTGCTACGAACGGGTCCCCCGTTATCTGAAACTTCCAATGCTTCGGATCCGTATGACCCCCTAAAACCCCTTACCTTAAGAACCCAAAACCAACTTTTCGTAGGTTCTTATTATAAACCCTAATATGGAATTTATAGGGACCCTACAAAAAAAGTAGGTTTTGGGTTCTTAAGGTATAGTTAAGCCCTGAGCCCCCTGAGCACTAAACCAATCCAATGTCAGGGTCGTTTGCGGAGCTTCATTTCGGGGAAGGGGTGGAGTGTTAAGGTCCAGGGCATTGGCTCTAAGGATGTACACTCTAAACCCTAAACCCCAAACTTTAAACCTAAACCCTAAGCCCTAAACCTTAGTGTTGCTGATGCCAAGCCGGGAATTTCTCAAGTTTGAATCCCGCGGGCACGTCGATAAACGCTTGTTGAAGAGCTCGTCTGACCTCTGAGCTTTAAGGGTTTAGGGTTTAGGCTCATACGACTGATTCAGGCAAATCAGGAATGCTTCATGACCCTCATTTTCGGGCTTCTTTAAGGGTTTTATTGCGGGTTCTATAGGGTTTAGGGTGTGTGTGTGTGTGTGCCCTAAACCCCAAACCCCAAACCCTAAACCCCAAACCCTAAACCCTACACCCCAAACCCTAAACCCTAAACCCTAAACCGAGGCTCCAAGAATTGCGACCATGGGTCGCTGGTCTATGATTGGACCCAGACTTCTGCAGCAGGAAAGCCGGTATAACTTTTCGATGCCGGCAGCATCCTGTAGTAAGTTGCCATACCAATCCAGGCCAGCATTCTTCAGTGTTCGGGTAGCCCTAAACCCTAAACTTACTGTTCAAACGAAGCTTGCTGCCTTGGCTAGACCTCAGTTAGAGGGGTGTGGGATCGTTTAGGGTATAGGGTTCAGAGGGGTATCCTTAAACCCTGAACCGAAAACTGTGGCGTCATCAATCATTAATGCGCTCCTTGAACTACCATGCAGTTACCTTAGCCAATCTGACGAAAAGATCCTAGGTCACAGACATGTGCTCTGGGGCCACTGAACCTAGAATAAACCCTACAAGCTCTAAACCTCGAATAAACCCTATGACCCTGAACGAAGCTTCAACCTCCCTAAACCCTGAACGCTAGACCCTAAGCCCTAAACCTCTAAACCCCTAAACCCTAAGCCCTAAACCCTAATCCCCCAAACCCTGAACCCCAGACCGAAGAAATCCTGAGCAGGATTTGGGGTCTCCGTGGAATACCTCGGGAAGGAAGCGCTGGCTGAATCAGAGGGCTACGTCGCCACCTTCAAGGATGCAACTGAGCTGAGACTACTATACTTATAGGGATATTTAGAAAAATCGTAGTTTTTGGTTACCATGGCCCCCAAGAAACAGCTAAACATCTAATGTTTGCAAAGAGCCCCAGTTCAGTATAGAATAGACTCGAATAGACGACAATATGTTTAGGCTTCTGCCTTCGTAGAGTTTTTGTATCACGGACCCCGAAACCAACCAAGTCTTGGGCTATTTTGATGCTAAGGGCTAGTGTTTCTTTGGCTCGGGTTTGATGGAGTTTCGCAATGCTTCGCACTGAACTTAAGGGTTGCTGTAGGGCTGTGTGTAAGGGACTCGACGTAATATAGGGGCCTCAATAATTACCTATGATATTTTGGAGGTTCCATTATTATGAACATAGTATAATGGGCTCCAAAACCCTATTCTAATTATAAAATAAAGGCCCCTCTATTATGGGACTCGACGTAGCTCACTTGAACATTCTCCTAGCGGCCTTGCTTGAAATGCCTACGCTGAGAAACGCTGGACGTTTAGCATCGGAACTTTCCCGATCAATGCAAAGCCTCAAGACCGATCATGTGATTAGAGAGAGCACTGGACGCCGCGATGATTAGTTGGGCAGTTAGCAGCTCCAAGCCCTGTACAGAGTCCTGATACCTATCTGTCTCTGTAGAGTTTAGGGTCTAGGGTTCAGGGGGTTACATGAGATGAGGTCAAAATTATCGT